TAGATATTGAATTCATATTGCCAAATCTTTGAATGATTAATCATAATACACTTTTAAATACCTCCCACTGAATTGTTTGATTTTACTTTTCATCTCAAACTTTTTTAAAACAAGTTTAACTCGATGCTTATTTTGCCGAATTAGTCAAGAACCAACACCATCACAGTTTGACAGAGCACCAGGTTCAAGAAGGTCAGTATCAGCATTAACGTCTTTTGTTTCCCCATATTTTGTTTCCTCATATTTATGCCCTTTTATCAGATGTTACAGTTCAGAGAGAATTTTGCGTAATTATCATGAAATGGTGCGAGAATAGCCGTTACTCCATAAGTAAGCTCATATCTTCATTTCCTCCTTTCGTTTATCGATTATTTTTTTCACTATTTTCTGTATTTACATTACTTTAAATTATGAGAAAATATTCATAATCGATTTGTTTACAATTGTTTGCACAATTATCTCGGCCCTTTCAATAAGGGACAAGAATGGTAGTCTGTGTTTTCAAGCAATAACTATAAATTCATTCATCTGAATACATTGCTTATCTTGGAATTACCATTTGTAATAAATATTGAGCGATAATTTATGAGAAATAATTCAAGTAAGTGGAAGGAAATGATGGGCTGGGCATCTGCAAGGCTTTAGTCAAATGAAAAATTTAATTTATGCTTTTACCTATTTCCTTCATTTGTAATATGTCATTGTATGACATTTCGTTTGACATAAGACAATATTTTTTTCCAAATATGCAAAAGTACGTACAACTAATGTGGCTTCTCAAAATTAGTACTATTCCAGTTAGCTTGAATGACCACCTTCAATTACTCAAAATCACTTTTCTTGTTCATCTACAGGAAGGCATTGGGATAAAAGATTTTTTGAGATAACAGATGAAGTAATGATATCCCTTTCCTAAAACAATATTAGAAATGCATCATTGTTTGATAACATAAGTTTTTCTCTTTTTATAGGTCAGAGGTGGTACTTCTGTCCGTCGTTTGAATGTGTGGACCTATTTGTGTTGCTATTACCCCCGACAGTAACTTTACACCTTAAAAGAGGGTTTTAGCTTGGAAAATTTATTTCTACTCTCTTTTGTGGCTTTAAGGTGCATTCGATTCTTTTAGCGGATACATGGGTGAATATATAGAAGCCTTGGTAGATACGAGTGTACTTTTTGTGTTATATAGGCAGAAAATAAAGTTAAGAAGAATTTTACTTAGTTTGGGGTGTGCGATAGACTTACCTCCACGTGGTGCACCCTGGGCAACGTATACTCATACGGTATAAAAGTCTATTAACCGGTAGGTGACTTCTGACTCCAAACTACCATCACCCCAATGTATGTCAAATACGACTACTTCCACAGTATTCACCTCACCTTTTTTCTAACTTTGTGTCTGTCTCTTTTACATCTTTGAAACACTCTTCTGCCCCCCCCCCTCTCGACATTTTTCACTCTGATGTTCCTTCCCTCTGTGAAGCCTGAAGTAAACTAAAGTGCTAACGATAACCATCAAGACGCCTGCCAATTGAGATAAATAAATATAAATAAGTAAATTTTCTCAAAAGATCTGCTGCTTTTAAAACCATGCCAGTTCAGAGTCATGGAGGACTAGTTTTGCCACTTGAACGTGTAAGCATGTCAGATATCGCGAGGCAACAGTTGTCAATGGTCCAGAGAGAAATAGCCTAAAAAATCGGTCATCCAAGACTCTTTATCAACCCGAAAAATTCCTTATTTATGAATATAAAAGGCTAGGATCCTGTCGATATTTGAGGATTAAAGTACGGTTAGTTGGGTAACAGTAGATGCAGCGTAGTGACAATCTGCAGGAATAGATTAAAAGTAGATAGATCTGTAGTGGATTGCTACGCTAGTAAAGCCTGACTGACTCAGAAATCTCTATGGCAGATTCCCTAAGTAAAGCCTGACTGACTTAGAAATCTCTATGGCAGATTCTCCTGACTCAGAAATCTCTTTGGCAGATTCTCCTACATCTAGACCGACTCAGAAATCTCCATGGCAGATTCTCAAACATCTAGCTACCGGCTCAGAAATTTCTATGGCAGATTCTCCAACATCTAGCTAGGAATCAGAAATCTCTATGGCAGATTCTCCAACCTCTAGCTAGAGAACAGCTAAGCTATAGCTCAGCTATAAAGAAAACAGACGTGTAGCACGGAGCGCGTTTATATCTGTGGCAGATTCTCCTACATCTAGCTAGACTCCCAGAACGGCAGATTCTCCAACGTCTAGCTAGACTCCCAGAACCAGGGAGATTCTCCTACATCTAGCTAGACTCCCAGAACCAGCTAAACCATAGCCCAGCTATAAAGGAAACAGACGAGTAGCACGGAGAATTCTCCAACATCTAGCTAGACTCCCAGAACCAGCTAAGCTATAGTCAAGCCATAACGGGAAACAGACGGGTAGCACGGAGCACGTTAATTCAGTACGAGTATTGCGGAAAAAGTGTTACGCAGGAAGCTTAATCATGATCAGGATGGCAGATTAGGTTAAACAAACAGAGGTTAATGATTGGTCACTGTTTGTACGGTCGCACCTCCCAATCCTGGCGTGCAGGCATGCGATGATTTTCTGGATTGGAACTTTGTTTGTCGGCAACTTACCAATTGCAAAATGGAATAATCTTGAGTTAAATGAAAATTAATATTAATTTCGCTTTGTTTTTTATTGATTTAACGATATCAATGGAGAGTGCTTCTCGGAGAGGTTTCGTCGATGATTATAATACTCTATTACGATGCTAGGTATTAAGTATTTTTATATGAGCATATTCTGGTCGATTTTAAAAATCTAAAATAATATACAGCTGACTAATAATTTCCCACTATATATGAAAAATTTTCAAATAGAACAACTATTATTGAGACCATTCCTATTTTTATAGGAAATCAATGAGTAGTCTAGTTCACTGTATAGCTGAAGATATAGTGGAGAAGTATCAGAAGAAAACTTTTAGGGCTTATTAGAAACCGTATCGTTAATTTTATCCATACTCACAAGTGGACTTCTAGTATTATGTATATTTTGTGACAATCATCTTCGTCATTTTAAAGTGCAATTACTTTTATTCCTACCGTTTCTTAACCCTATCTGCGAATGGCTTGAAAGTGGGTTACCATAGCTACAAAAGTGTAATTTTAACAAAGATTTTGCAAACGATGAACAAATAGGCTGACGCATATGCGTTAATTTGAATCTTCAATATCTATTAATTCTAGCTCTAAATGTCGAAAAGTTGTGGTTTCCTTCACAAATAGCAAAAAAGCTTTAAAATATATTTGGTCAAACAAACTAATCGATGTTCGGTTTATTTGATAAATTTGGTCTCGCTGTCTGAAAACACATATCCCACCTCAAGACTGCAGAAATGGAACAATTCAATGAAATTAAAGAGCTGCTGAAAAGAACGAGATGAATGGACATTTGCTCATCATAATAGCAACAAGGTGTGCGGGAATGTTAAATTACCTTCGAACAACAACGTCTCATCCATAAGTTTTTCTTAGCCCCGACATATTCGCTCACTTACTTCCCGAAGCATCCGCCTAAATCTTAAGTAATCATTCTGCCACCATTAAATTTAAATAAAATTTAAAATTTTCACAATATAGTAAGTCCAATTTATTGGGGCAATTTATTTCAATCAGGAATCATCTTCAACATATTTAACAGTGGTTTTACCGTCTAATAAAAATCGATAGCAATTTAAAGTTGGGTGGATAAAATTGAATTTTTCCAAATATTCGGTGACTTGCATTGTTGAAAAGCCGATCTCGCGGAATCGTGATGGCTCGGGTTCGACCGCTACAACATATGGATTTCCAGTTTGGTCGTATTCGTATTTCAATCTGCCATTCACAACTTGTGGCATCGGCTTACTGTACATAGATGTCAATAAACTTGGATTGTAGGGATCAAATCTAAGTTCTATTTTTCTAGAGATTTGTTTCAACTGATAGCCTGTGAAAGGTGGTCTATAGTAAAGTGATTCCACTTCGTCCCAATTAACGTACTTGAAGAAGGCGAGTTCTTGAAGCTCTGGAATATTTGGGCGTAAAACATAGGAGTAAGTAAAAGTCCTAGTGAAGAATTCCCTCAGATCCCCTCTTAGTCTAGAGAAGCGGTCGATATTCCAAATGCCTCCGACCGCTCTTTGCAGCATTGATCTACTCTTAGCACCACCTATTCGAATTTTCCTGCCAAGTAAGTCTGTCATCAGAACACCAAGTGTCCATACATCTGCCTGAGGTGTTATCATTTGCTTGCATACAATTTCCGGCGCAGCATAATATTGAGCTACGAGAAAATCGTAGTTGTTTGGAAAATTCCTGGTTAGATCATAGGACCGATCAAAGTCAGAGAGGATTACATGACCTAGGTGTGAAATCAGAATATTATCCGGTTTGCATTCCATATGCACAATG